AGCTAATAGGTGTACCACATATGATCTAATGCAAAATCTGAATGTGAACATGAGTGTGTATCTGAATCTATATCTGTTTTGAAATCTAAATATGTTCTGATTTAAATACTGGGTTCTAATTTGTGATGGACATCATTCATATAACCCTTTTACTTTGTTATTATTCACTGGGCTTTCGCTCACAGTTTATATTATGTATGTAGGTGAGCCGGCACTTGACCAGGGCCAGAGTTGACGCCCTTTTGTACCGTTTTTGTCAGCCAACCGTTGTGCCTCCCGAGGAGGTTCCGATCGAAGTCTAACGCCAAGGCTGTTTTTGTTTTCATGCTAGTCTCTGTAACTGTTTGTAAAGTCAGATCTTGGGAAGTTCACTTCTGTAAATATTGTGTATCTAGACTGGCATGTTTATGTATATATAAATAAGTTTTAAAATGTTCTGTCCCATGTACGTTAACACAGCTCATTGGACCTTGTCTATTTTGTATTATTGCTTCCGCAGCCCCTTATTAATTGTTAATCTGTTCAGAGGCCTTGGGTAATCCACGAATTACTGGCCGGTTATGGTGCTAAACCTACAGGGGCGGGTTTGGGTCATGATACTGGCTGTGTTCCCCCTTCTATATACTGGTCCAGGTGTCCAGCAGCCACTGACTCCTCCAAATGTTGCCTCAATAGTGTGCAATTTTCAGTGCAGTGCTCCTTCTCATCATGGAAGGTGCAACGGGACCTCTCATCATAGCCTTTTTGTGCTTCTCCCAACTTGGCTGGCCGCCGAACGAAGGGTTAATCACGTATCTTGCTGAGAATCCGATAGATAGGTTTATTGAATACTATGGTAATGGCAGTGCGGATTCTTAACTTCCTTTTTTTCTGGGTCCTCTCTGTTGGCTCGCCTGTCTCGTCCACTCTGGCTTGGTTATTCTACCGTATTGATTTTTGCTGTTGTCTTTTTATCTGACATTGTTGTTGTGTCAGATTTTGCTTTAGCACGGGCGCTATCTTCCTCTACTCAGATATGTTGGTGCACCCTCTCTTTCCATTAGGGCCTCCATCGTGAGGGGTGGCATCATTGCCATTGAATCCCTCAATTTATTACCGACTGGTAAACCTCGTTTGTATTGTGCGACGGCGAGGTTTGTAGGGCAATCCCCAATCTGGTTGAAAGTCTCTCAATATCGACTGTTGTAAGACCTCAATGTCTCCTTTTCGCCCATGTCAATGGAAAGTAACTGGTCAATCTCCACTGGTGTCTTGGTATTCGTTCGGAATCTAGTCACGAACGCTTCTTCCAACTGCGCCCATAAGGCTATGCTGCCTTCTGGCAGGCTTTCGAACCAGGTTAGACGTAGGTCGCCAACGTTGGATGGAAACAGGATACACATTAGAGCCTCGTTTCGCAAGTATACTGCCATAACCTGACGAAAGTAGCTTAAGTGCATGTAGGGGTCTAACTTCCCCTCATAAGTGGTGAACTTGGTCTGGCGGAAGCCTGAGGGTCGTGCTACGTTCTCAATTGCCAGAACGAACGGCGAGATTTGTAATATTGCTAATACTTTATCCGTTGGTTCATAAGCGAGACGCGGTATTGGCATCCCTACCTCAACACTCACATGTGTCTTTGGGGTCAATCGCTGTAGGGCTGAAACTCTGCGAGGGCCGCGAGCCCTGGTGTCCTCTTTCCATCGAGCCCTCTCCTCGTGTACTGTTCGCAGATCCACCGACCTAGGTAACTCTGTGTGCCTAGTTGTCGTTTGGTGCGTGTGCGAGGGCCGATAGCTGCTTCCCTCTATATACGACCTTTCAGCCCTCATTCTCTCAGACCTAGAGTAACGAGTCCTGGAAGTCCTTGATTGAGTGTCGCCTGTTCTAAGGCTCCGACTTTCTACTTGCGATGGCGTGATATGTCTGTTACGACCTTTCAAGTGGTAAGAGGGTGTGTTGCCTTTACGCTCCTCTTCCAAGTGGTACGACCTTCCAATCACCTGGGCTTAGCTTGGCCAAACACTTGTGCGACACTAAGTACTTGGACCCTGTTTGCCTGGTCCAAACTTGTGTTGTGCTCCAAGTGTGCAAAATATTCAATTTGCTAGGTCTTCAAAGCTAGGTTATAATGCGTTTTGCCTGACCCACCAGTTCGGTAGAAATCTCCCTCGCAGCACCCCTAGTGGAAACAGCTATAGAACTTAAAAACGAAAAGTTTGTACTTACCAAATATAACTATTTTGAAACCTCTTTTTTAAGAATTCTATGAAGCACTTAGCGAGGGTATCTTCTCTCTTCCCTTCTTCTATTGATGCGATTTTAATGGTCTAAGTTCCTACTGCAACTGAGTCCTTCTCGCTTTTGTAAATATTTTTTCTTTATATATTAAAAAAGAATTGGGCTAATAGTCCCCACTTTATTACTTAGGATCCCTACATTTCTCTCAATCCCCACCTACAAAACTCAAAATTGAGAAAATTTCAAACCCCCCACATAATATCAAAACTATTATTCCTACAAAAACACTACACACCCAATTAGATGCACACACTCACAATTAGCACATCCAGTAAAAACCCTACCCCCTCCTAAAAACCTAACATCCCAGGCCCCACCTCCTCCTGAAAACCCACCATCCCAGTGCCTCACTGATGATCTCACCATCGACCACCAACAACCTCACCACTAAAGCTCTCTCACCAACAATCTGTCACCACCAACGATCTCTCACCGATCACAATCTTACCACTAACAATATATTTATGTCAATGACTATATTCCTTTAGCCAACTTGAAAGCTGCGTTTGATCCTGTGTTACTGAACAAATTAGCCACTTTTGGACTTGTGTTACTGGACATTCTAGTTATGTTCAGCTCTGTGTTACAGAATAATTTGTTCATGTTCAAACTTGTGTTACTAAACAGTCCAATACCTGAACAAAGTTCAACCAATCAAAGTTTAACAAACAAATATAAGCTATGTTCTGTTAGACCTTGCTGAATTATTACTTTTAATTTGGCCTTGTGTTGCCAATTTTTTGGCACATGTTTAGAAGTTTAGTATTGAAAAAACACATACTGTTATTATTATTTCTTGTGTGTTTGAAAAAACTCACCATTATAAGGTCCATCTCCTCCGAACTGCCAACCCCGTCAAAGATGTGAACCTCCACTGACCTAACATTGTAATGCTACATTCATCTCACTGTATTGGGTTTGCCAAAAAAGCTTACATTCATGAGAACTGGTCCAACCGAGAAGTCACGTCTTGAGTTATGCGAACTAGTCCAATCAGAGAAGGCTTGCAGGATTGACAACACTCGACTTTTGAGAGTTTTGAAGGGTTTGATGGAAGTGGGACTCATATTATGTTATGATTTGGTCGGTGGGTTTAATTTTAATTGTGAGATGGAGGTCCCAATTGAAAACTTGTCCTTTCTAGTAATTCTATTTGTAGCCATTATTGTAATTATAAAAAAACAAAAACACTAATACATAGGGATCTCAAGTAATAAAGTGGGGATTATTAATAACATTCATTAAAAAAGGTCTCTAACGGGTGAAAAGTGGTAGGTGTCCACTATTGAACATTCCAAACTCGGCTCAAGTGTGATCAAACAATCAAAAATTAAACAATGACAAAGCAGCCCGTGACTGAGTGATAGATTGATCGACACCAGAAGAATGCTCAACCGACGAAATGAGTTGCTTCTTTCTTCTCTATTGGTGAATTTGGTGAATTGGGGGATAACAAGAAACTATTCCAATTTCTAACAATAGAGGTTCAATACATCTTTTTCCTTTATGGTTCACAATCCGCATGGGTTCATCCATGTAATAATTGAATGAACTGGGTTGTGCACGGTCCGATTCAAAATGACAAAAGAACCATGCAGCAGTAGGGCCCTAACGAGGAAGGGGTTTTTTACCTGGTTTATGCAACTTTTGAATAAATGATCAAAACATTGGAGAAAAAGTAAATCGGTCCTGTTATAGTTCAATAATGTTAAGGATACTAACACTTTGACTAACAATATTATTAACACACTCGAATTTTGATAAGATCAACCATCACTTGATGTGGGACTCACATAAGCTTTGTAACCGTGTTATTAAAATTCTCAATAAAATGTAAGTATTGCTAACATTTCATTATAGTTTGGAGGGAAAGCTTATGGCACACATCCCCTTAGGAGTGCATACTATATGCACCATACCACAAATTGGCATAACTTTGCCATAAAATTTCAAGACATCAATCACAAAATGCGTAACCTCGCCACAAATAAACTTAACAGAATGTTCAAAATTTTGTGGTTAAAGTTACAAATGTTTGTGGTTTGGTTACAATATTTTTGTTACTCTAATTTATAACGAGATTACGCATTTTGTAGTTGATGTAACAAAATTGTGATAAACTTACGCCAATTGGCAACGCATACAGGATGCACACACCATAGGCTTTCCCTAGTTTGTATACCTTATACTGTTTCTCATAGTGGACCCTTAACAAACTCAGAAGTTGTCTAAAGAGAGAATTAAAAGGACAGAGACAGTAAAATATAGCTTATATTTCTCAATATGAAAGCCAAAAACTGTCAACAATTAGCATACCCTTCGGATACTCAATCTCCCCTTATTTTTTTTATTTTTTATTTTTTTCCAAATATAAAGTATAAGCTTGCTCTAAGCATATTTTTATTTAGGATTTCTCATTTGGTATAATGTACAGTAAACTTCAGAAGAAGATTCGTATAAGGCTTAATTAGTTATGGCAGTAAAAATTTCGCGTGTTATCTGAATCTCAGTATAGTACAGGTGCCAATTCTAATGCAGTTCAATTTTTTTAAAGCAGCCAACAACAACGATAAGGTTGTGACAGAACATACCCATTGTGCTTTCATATCTGCAAATGACATATCGCACCCCAAAAGCCAAAAAAGAATAGATCTAGCAAGCTTTATGCATAATAGCATGAATATATCTAGCAGGAACAAGTATTACCGACACTGATCATATAATGCAAAACTTGGGAAGACAAAGTCACACAATTTTTTTTTAAGTTATTTCATACCAGCAACTGTACAGTACCACATAAAACAACAACAGCAGCAGTTAAACAATGTCACAAAGGAAGACAGCAAAAGAACATTATGATGTTGAACCAACATTCCATCTATGCTCTCTTAATTTATTTCGTACAAAACACAAATTCTATAATACACATGCCCTAAAGACATGCAACTATGTTAAATAGATTTTGCACTTCCAAGTAACTGAAGGTTGAAAGACCATCCAAATATAGATCAAGAAACATAGAGGGGCTCCGGATCCACTTTTCTTCTGATCCTGAAGGGTGTCAATACGCTCAAATAAGTCAATTGTGATTATTAGAAATTGCATAATATCCAAATCCAAACTATTGGAACTCCAATAGTAATTCACCCATTGTAAATCAGGGGCAACTAGATTTATTGATTCAGTAATGGCACAGCCATTTGACTGGATGAAAACCCATTATTGGTTTTGAAAGCCTACAGGTCCACAGTGTAGACCGAAAAAATTTTGGTCCCACAAATGTACTTGGTAAAATATAAATCTTAGTATTACTTACATTTACATACATAAATATTGGGAACTAGTTTCCAAATTCAATTAGGGTTTTGACCCATAAAAATATTAGGCAATTGGATTGTAATATTCAGTTTTGGTTATAATATTATTGGAGATAGGTTGTGGCCAATTGTGTTTCTCTCTCTCTCTCTCTCTTCTCCCACATTATTCTACATCACTTGGTGAACTGGAAAAGCAATTCATAAACGATAAAGACGTAGAACATGAAAAATCCACATCAACTAACCAATTTTCTGGTGCCCATTTGCAACCAACAGTATCAATCACGTGCAAGCTGTAGGCATGCCTCGAATTTGAAGACTGATTCTCAAAACTGTAAGCCAAGCAAATACATCAAAATTAAGAAAAGAAGTGAAATTATGATTTTGCTATAAAGAAAATTTTCAATTACCAACCTTTGATGAATAAGATCACCATGAATGACAACCAAGGAGCCAGCTTTAACTTCAATGGACACAAAATCTTTCTCGTCATACGATGGAGAAGGCTGATCAAAGTGAACGCCATCCTCATCCCTAATGAATCTTCTAACAAGGCCATCTTTGAAGAAGACAAGTAAAAGAAAAGAACATTATTGTGTGATTTAGAAGATTTTTTATGCTAAAAAGGAATGCAAGACAGGCTGGATATAAGAGCACTACTTTTGTGGGATCCAGGAATAGCCCAAAGGCAGCCATTTATTATGGTTGCATCTTCCAAAGCAAGCCATAACCCGGTGCAAGTCTTTGGTTCAGTATAAAGAAATGAGTTATCCTGATGCGGCACTACTTCACCCCCAATACCTGGTTGCTGAAATGAAACTTCTAAACATTATACACAGATTCAGCACAATATGACATTTAAAGACTTGCACAACTGAAGACATGTCATACGTAGGGCTGCAACCGAGCCGAGTAATCCAGGGCTCGAGCTCGGCTTGTTTGTTTATCGAGCTCGAAAATCAAGCTTGAGCTCAGTTCGAAAATTAATCCAGCTCAAGCTTGGCTTAAGCTCAATAATGAAGAAAAAGTTTGGCTTAATAATCAAGCTCAGTCAGCTCGTTAAATATTATTCTATATAAAATATGCACATATAACGCATTTTATATTATTTAATATATAAATAATATATTTATTCTATTATTTAAATAAATAATAAACAAGCCGAGCTTTATGAGCACAACTTATTGTAGCTCGAGCTTGTCTCATTTATGTACATAACGAACCAAGGCGAGCTTGCGAGTAGCTCCATTCATTTACAGTCCTAGTCATATGAAAGGCGCTTCAACAAATGTAGAAACTTTGCAATGTATATGTAGATCCTTGTAACAAAAGAACAGTACTCTACGGACACCCCAAATAATATTGCACCCCAATGAAGAGGGCCAAATTTTCATTACGGGAAATAAGCATAATAGCCAGAAAATTGACAACAAAAAACAAATAGACAAATATATGATTTTAAATTTTCACAAGGAGCAAAAACTTATGACTTAAATATGGCAGAGGTAGGGAAAACAGAACTACTATCTCCCATCCTGGTTCCACAAAAACACTAGAGACCCCTTTTTGGCAGAAGTTATGAATTCTTGAATTCAAAGTGACCTTCCATCGAAACAGCCCGGAACATAGTGAAAAGAACCAAAATACAGTGCAATGAGGCTGTTTGGTGTAGCTTAACTGAGCTGCTTATAGCTTTTTTTAATTCTAGAATTTTGTGCCAAACTATTTGGTGCAATTTCTGCTCACAGCTTGCTAGGCAAAAATAACTTAAAAAGATGATGAGAAATTATCTGGAAGTTAGGGGGGAGGGGTGTGCTTTGGTTCCTACTTTCCAATTATCGGCTTTGAACTTGCAATAAGTTGCACCAAACAGATCCAATATACCGTAACAATAACTCGTGTTGGTACAAATTTAGAATTTTTCATAAATATTTTTACAATTTGCAAAACAATAAAAATAAAATAAAGGTAGTAATTTACTATATTAATAAATAATGTATTGTAATATAGTAAGACTATTATTACTACTTAGTACATTTTTAGACCTTATTTTGTTGGGATCTTACACGCTTAATAGAATCATTTACACTTGTGTTTAATAAAATTGAGTTATTTTACAATACTCAACTCTTTTTTTATTTATTTTTTTATTTTTAGCAACAATGATTTTCTTATGTTATACTTTTTATGTCAATATGTTTAATAATAAATTAATATGTTGTTCACAAATGATATTGTTCTTGTGGATGAAAGTGAAGGAGTGCTTCTAGCAAACTATGCGATCGACAAATACCAACAAAATTGGCAGAAAAATTTTGTCGAACTATGCGATGATCAATGATGCTTTACAAGACAAAATGTTAGGCGATTAAAAAAACAAAACGTTCATAAAATGACTCTAGTTGAGATGATTAAGATGAGAATGCTTCGATGAATGAGTGGTAAGACTAGAAAATATAAAATCAAAAATGAATATATTTGTGAAATACATAAATAGTAGTAGCACTAAGCACTAATTAAACTACCGCTAAGGTAAAAATATGGAGAGAAGCATTTGAGTCCAAAGCGTTTAAAATTAGTAGAGCTCAAACTAAATATATGAAATATAACTGTTGGCACCTAGTTTTCACATGTGGTCTGTCAACAAGTGTGCTTCTTCATGGAAAGGGTGAAAGAGAATGCCACGTGATTTTGAAGTAAAGTCAAGCAAGTGGCACAAAGATAGGAGGAGTTCAAGACAGATGGTAAAGTGAGGAGTACACAAAGCAATAGTGGTTAAGAGCAGTTGAAGCAAGAGGAGCATTATGCTGGAATGCAAGATCCTGGGGCATTGAGTATCAGTGATGGCCAACAAAGACTATAAAAGAGGAATGGCAATTAGAAGGTAGGGCACCATCAAAACCTATTGTGAGGCCCCTAACTTTTGTAAACCCTATTAAATCCCTAACTTTTGAGTTATTATAATAAAGTTATTAGTTCCTTATTTATTCGCAAATTTAACCCTAGAAGCGAAGACACATCACGAACGAACCCGTACAAACCCTAATCAATCCTGATAGCTTAGTAATCATTTCTACACTCTAATTTTAATTATTTAACTGCGAGGCCCCTGACCTTTGTAATTTTATTTAGACCCTTACTCTTGAATTATTTCAATAAAGACTCTCGATTCCTTAATTGTTTTCAATCAAAAATTCGCAAACCCTAATCGAACCCGAGAACTCATGAATCATTTCCAAAGCCCTAATAATAATTAATTAACTCCCTAATTATGGATTTACCGCTCAAAGCCCTAGCTTACCTGTTCTCGTTATGATTTGCAGTTTAATTCGAAACAAAAGAAACTTTAACCGAATTAAATTTCTAAATACTAATTTAATTAAATACTACACTTAAATAAATGTTTCTACCAAATATATAGATGTATATATGCATTATACTTGTAACTAGGATAGTTTAATTAAGAGAAAAGCCTAACTAGATCATATTTAAGTGCATAATTAAGTTTCTTAATCATCCACTATTCCATTTCATCTTAACTAAATCCAAGACTATTCAATTCATTTGAAACCTACAAAGTACCGTCACGTCCCCAAGGCCTGTGTACGAGTGTCGAATACGTGTCGGACACGTTGTGGACACGTGTCTGACACTCTCTCTAACGTGTCCCTTTTTTTAAAAAAAAAAAAAATTCCAATTGAATACGCCATGGACACGCCATGACACTTTCCGAACACACGCAAGGTGGATCGAAGAAGCCCTAACCTGTTGGAGAGGAGAGAGAAAAATATCGAAGGAGAGATCGATTGAAGGAAGAAGCCCTAACCTATTCAAAAGAGATCAATCAAAGAAGCCCTGAAGTATTCTTCTTCGTCTTCTCTCTTCTTTTTCTTCTTCTCTAGTCTTCTTTGTCCACCGTCTTCTTTGTTCTTCTTCTTCTCTTCATCTTCATCTCTTCATTTTCACCTAAACCATACTGGGGTGATGCGGTCCTTACTGTTACATATCCTATTAATCGCATGCCTTCGAGTGTCTTTCAATTTCAACACCCTCTTGACCTTCTTTCCCGCACTTCTGTTCACCTTATTTCTCTTCCACCTAAGGCCTTCAATTGTGTCTTCTTTGTCCATTCCCTTCGTTCCATTCGCAAAAAACTTGAACCCAAGGCCCTAAGGTTTATTTTTCTCGATTATTCCTCTACTCAAAAAGGCTATCAGTGCTATGACCCTCACACTCGCAAGATAAATGTTTCTATGGATGTCATGTTCTGTAAGTCTGAGCCATTCTTCCAGGGATCATCTCTTCAGGGGGGAGGTTTCTATTCCAGAAAAGATTGGTTTCCCGAATTCTATGTATTTTCCTTTCAATGGTTGTGAGGGGGAGGATGAGCCATGTAGTAAGGGGGAGGTGAATCCTTGTGTTCAAGATGAGTCTAGTCGGTTGGATAGATCAGATCTCAAAACCTACTCTCGGCGACAGAGGGAACAAGTGCCTAATGCGCTGCCATGCCAATCATCTCCATCTCCAGTTTCAGGTAATGAGTCATTGGTTGCTAAGTCTATTGTCCCTGCTAGTGATGTTCATAAAGTTGATGACTCGGATCTTCCTATTGCTATTAGGAAATGAGTCAGATCTTGTACTCAACATCCTTCATCTCATTTTGTATCGTATAATTCATTATTTATTTATTTATTTATTTTGAACAGCAACAAAACAATTTTATTGAAACAAAGATGATAACAAAGGAGGATAAGAAATCCTCCTACAAAGTTAGAAGATACAAAGATAAAAGACCAAAGAAACAAAAGCTACAACACATCACAATCCGCACTACACATGACAAACAACAGCCCAATCCCTAGAAATAAAAAACAAGGGTATATCCTTGAAAGGAGGAGACACACAAGCCCAAACTGATGCCATGTGTCTCACCCTATCCCACAAAGCTTCCTCTCTATCGTACCGTGCCTTTGTTTCATCTTTGTCTTCTGTTTCTATTCCGCAAGGTTGGAAGGAAGCTCGTAATGATTCTATGTGAAAAGAAGCTATGGCAGAGGAGATGTGAGAGCACTGAGTAAGAATGGCACTTGGCAGTTAGTTTCTCTACCAACCAAGAAAAAGCATGTGGGGTACAAATGGGTGTTCACTGTTAAACAGATACTGATGGGACCATTGAGAGATATAAAGCGAGGTTAGTTGCCAAAGGGTTCACTTGGACTTACAACATTGACTATTAGGAGACCTTTGCACCAGTGGCCAAGATGAATTCCATCCGTGTTCTTCTTCCTGTGCAATAACTCTGGGATGGCCGTTACAGCAGTTGGATGTGAAGAATGCATTTCTTCATGGGGATCTAGAAAAAAAAGTGTATGTGGATGTTCCTCCAGAGTTTTCTTCTCTAGCCACTGAAGAGAAGGTTTTCTGGTTAAAGAAGGCTTTGTTGAAATAATCTCCTACAGCTTGGTTTGACAAATTCCTCAAGGCGATACTTAGATTTGGCTATAAGCAAAGCCATACAGATCATACTGTGTTCATCAAACAGTGTAGAGATACGATCACTGTACTTATTGTTGATGTGGATAACATTGTGGTGATAGGCAATGATGAAGAAGAAATGTTCAAGGCTCAACTTTCCAAAGAATTTGAAATTAAAGATCTCGGATTCTTATAGTGCTTTCTTGGAATTGAGATTGCTAGATCAAATAGGGGCATCTTCATTTCTCAAATGAAGTACATCTAGGACTTGCTTGAGGAGGTAGGCATGTTGGGATGTGGACCTGCTGATTCTCCTATTGAGGCTAATCACAGGCTCAATAGTAGTGACGGAGAACATGTGGACAAGGGGAGGTATCAAAGGCTTGTGGGAAGACTGATATACCTTTCTCATATTAGGCCATATATTGAATATGCAGTTGGTGTTGTTAGCCAATACATGTATTGTAAAAATATATGTATTATTGATTGATATCTGATTGTTTTGTTCTATTTATTACAATTACAAATGGTTCCTTATATAGATGTAGGTGTAGTGGTTGGTGGTGGTAGGTGAGTGTAGTAGGTGAGTGTGTGGTAGGTGATGGTAGATTCTAACATGTATTATCCTCGGACAAGACATTTGGATGCAGTTCATCTGATCTTAAGGTATCTCAAATCAACGCTTGGAAAAGGCATCTTATTCTCCAATCATGGTCATTTAAGATTAGAGGCCTTCGCTGATGCAAATTGGGCTGGTGCTATTGATGATAGGAGGTCTACTTCAGGCTACTGTACATTTGTCGGAGGACATTTGGTGACACGGCAGAGTAAGAAGCAATCAGTTGTCACCAAATCGAGTGCAGAAACAGAGTATTGAGCCATGGCACATGGCATTTGTTAGTTGATGTGGCTTCAAGTTTTGGAGGCTGACCTAGGATTGTTGCGTGGTGGTCCCATGCGATACTGTGATAATAAGGCGGCTATTAACATTGCTCATAATCCGATTCAGCATGATAGAACTAAGCACATCGAGATTGATTGACTTTTCATTAAAGAGAAAGTGAATAGTAGAATTATTTGTTTGTTGTTTGTCAAATCAACAGATCAGTGGAATAGTGAAATTATGGTTGAGGGTAATATTGTACTTGTACTTATTCCCTTTTATTATAAATGCATGTGTTTAGAGAGGTACAAACCCTAATTAGGTTTTATGCCTCTCTCTCTCTCTCTCTCTCTCTCTCTCTCTCTCTCTCAAGTCTTATGTTCCAGTTTTAACTATTTACAAAAAAACATATAGTTGGCAAGAAAAAGTTACATGATCACTATAAATGGAAATGTTAGGGGAGAGAGGAAGGCCTAAAGTAACATGGGATATGATAGTATAAAAAGATATGAGTTTATTTAATTTTCAGTTGTCATGGTACATGGTTATTAAGCTTTTATATATTTAGATATATCACAATCAATGTTTCCAAATATTTCTATTTAATTTTGAATTTTTTTTATTTATTTTGAAATGCTTTTGTAACAGTTTCTTGCTAATCGAAATAACACACTTACATGTATTTTTGATATTTGATTATTAGGAGTGTACAAGGCTCGATAGAATTTAGTAGTTTATCATAGGGGTGTGTAGATGTTGATCTAGAATACGAGTCCTAAAAGCGATACCCTTTTATGCAATTTTTATTATATATAAAGATATATCTAAACATAAGAACATTGAATTGAACATTAGATTCAATTCCGTTCTCTAATTAATAGTTCTTTTAGCATGTCTCTGAGGAGCTGTGTGGCCTTGAAAGCCAAACATCTTCACACACTCCACACACCCAGTGTGCTTTTTTTTTTTTTTTTTATGCTTCTACTACTGCTGCTGCCTAAACAAATTCATTGTCAAAACTATGGATAAATATCTATCCCTCTTATTCATTAATGAAAGGTTAGGCCTCTGGAACACCTTGCTCAAAATAGTATTAAATGCCTTCTTCAATAAAAATAAAAATAAAAATGAAGTCTCCTTGCAAAAATTCTGCACAAAAGATTTTCTCTACAATCCAAGATCAAAGAGTTTTCAGAAAGAAATTTTCTGCTACTAAAGAAAAACGATTTGGTAGATAACAAGTATTATCCAAGTTCAAAATGCAAAAAGAAAAAATTGGGGAGCTAGCACACACTTCACCAAAGGAATTGGAATCCAATTTGGGCCAATTTTACCAAAAAACCAATCACAGGTTAGCCTAGAGGCCACAACCCATGTTCCACGATAGGAGGTCACGAGTTCAACATTGAAAGAGGGGAGCAAGCCTTGTGAAGAAATCATGGGTGTAGTTTTTGTTTTGCAAGATCATATAAGAAGCAAGTGTGGTCATCACAATTTCTTTCAAAAACAATATAAACAAGATTCTGCACCACCATGAGAATACTACTTTTAAAATATCTTTGGCAACTCTGCATAATATTTTCAGGGATGCAAAGACAAGACCTCATGGAAAAACATCCAATCAAATGTTGAGGTTGAAGAAGATACAACAAAAGAGCCAATTCAGTATCTAAAAAATATACTTGAATTTAAAATTCAAGGCTTCAACCTAACAGACATGCAGCTCTATAAATTTTGAGTTGAAAGAACAAATAAAAGGATTGAAGAACTATGAAGCACGGATACTTCAAATAGGGTGACGTATCCGTATCGTATCCGTATCGGATACCGATACTCCTTGGATACTCGCGGATACGTATCGGATACTTATTAAAAGTATCGGATACTTCTTAATTATTTTTTCATTAATTTTGGAGTATCGGATACTTAATTTTGAAGTATCAGATACTCTAAGTCATGTTTACTTGTTTTATGAAATTAGAATTGTAACATTTCTTGCATAGTAATATAATATAATATAATTGCAAGTATAAATATAAGAATATTTTTCTAATATTTTGTTAAGTTCTTCGATAAGAAGAGCATAGTGAGTTAAATAATATAATTTATCAAATTGATGTATCTTAATTATTTCATGCATGTCCTCTATAACTACATAGAAAGCAAGAATTAACAAGAGAATATAAAAATGGTAAAATTAAATATCAATAAATAAATAAATAAGGAAACTTGAATATAATATTTTTCACTAGTGTTAAAGGAAAAAACCATAGGGACAAATTTCGAATTGTTATATTATTGTAATATAAATATATTAAACTTGATATTGAAATGAAATATTTGCAAGACCTATTAAAAATTTAAAAAGTAAACAAGCTACTAGCTTAAATTAATACAAAATTCTTAAAATATAGTATTTTGCATTATAAAATTATATTGTGGTTTCTCAACGTTCTTTAGCTTATGTGTAACTCACTATTAATAATTTTAAAAAATATATTTTTCACAAACGTATCCTAACTGTACCCGTATCCTATTTTTTTAAGTTTTGTCGTATCGCCGTATCCGTATCGTGTCGTATCCGTATCTCGTATCCGTATCTATGCTTCCTAGTTGAAGAATTACTCCAAGAGAACAAAACTCTATAGGAAAAATTGAAAAATATCATCAAATGATAGGAAACAAAATTAAATTAGACTTCCTTTTTTGAAAAATGCGAACTAAGGGTTGATGAAAATTCACAATTTTCAGGCACTCTAGAAAGATATTTAGTACATTAATGATTATTGTATGAGATGATGATTAAGAATACTCATAGCCATAGTCTATACATATATATGCTTTTCTGCAAGTTGTGAAACAGAGTAATTATATTTGATTTAGTGATATGGTGACAACGAAGAGTAAAACGTCAGGCCTAAAGGATTGTCATCATTTCAGCATCATCTCTTCACCTATTAGTGAGGACTGAGGAGTTTAAAACTAAACCAATGAAGATGTTTGCCTTAAGATGGACGATGAATTTAAAAATGCGGAAAGGGATTTTAATAAACTTAGACTTAAACATAGGTGATCTTGGGCGAAAGAGATCAACTATTGGAGATGGTAAAGAATTGATAAAAAAAAATCTTCGATAAATCAATTATACATTTAAAAAAAAAAAGAAAAGAAAAAGTAGAACATAATTGAACAGACATCTGCCAAATGCATCTTTTCTTCTAAACAAGGCCACACTGAGCTCGCACAGTGCTGTATGTCAAAGACACAAGCACAAGCTCAAGCTCAAGCTCAGCCTATTGGATACATACAACTGCCACATTAACAGAAAATAAGGGTTCTAATAACATCATGAAAAAATTAATTACTAAATATTCAGTATGAAAAAAGAACAAGAGATACCTTAAATATGTACATTGACTGAATGATCACCGGCCTCTTGTAATCTAAGGATAAGAGTAAGCTTGATAGTTTCTCCGAGCAAGAGAATTTTTTGAAGACTGGATCAATCTCATGCAGCGCTACACAAAACATACAATATGAGTGGCAATATAATGCCAACCAAAAAGGCATAACAAATATTAGTGTACCATCCACTCATATCCTCTTTTCGATCATTTAGATTGCCATAGCAATTCATTTAATAACCTTATCAGAATCCAAATAAGATTATTGAAATTTAAAGATATAAATGAAAACATTCAAAGTAACTATAGAATTTAAGGGGATGATAGAGATGATATGAATTCTCCACATACATACATCCAAGAACGAAGAAGAAGAATAGTATTCCCCACATACCATGTCCAACTTTGTTAATTGAGAGTTGCTTTGGTTGCTTTAAGTTACCATCTTCATCAAATGCTTTCTCTGTCCAACAATACCAAATGTCAACATGGCCATGTAGCCAACATTCTACAAGGGCTACAACTAAAAAAGTCACTGAAATTAAAAAAAATAAAATTTTAAATGGAAAAAAAGGGGGGAAATTAAAATACTACTTGATTAGAATTCTAGAAGTAAACCTGTTTCACAGCACTGCAGCAATCAAAGCATTTTTAACTCTTTAAAAAGAGTACAATAGAAATACTATCTACACCATATCTAAAAGTTTTCCACAAACAATGATTTTTATCTAGCTAATAGATTAAAAGAATCAAATCAAACGTAGAACCATGATCTCATAAAAATAAAATAAAAAATAAAAAAAACTAAGCCATCTTTCATAGTACTACTACCTATAGAAACACGACTGCAGGCTTAATATATTGAAACCCAAATATAGGTTTTCAATTGAAGAACAAAAAGATTTTTTTTGATATGTAGAGTATCTTGGGCCAGCTTGCATGCAACAAACTAAGCCTTCCCAAACATGATTTATGCTCCAAGAGTTTTTGTTGGCGAGGGAAGTCAAACCTGAGACCTTGGAGGGAGCAAACCCCCAAGTCCCATGCCTCATCCACCCTACCAAACCCTTGGGTACTGTTTGGTTTATTGGAATGGAATTGTCATCCCATCAAAATATTCATTTCCTTGTTTGGTTAACTAAAAAGATAATAATAAATACATAGCAAATGGAATGATCATACACCATTATAAGGAATGATCATTCCATTCCATAAGGGAGCTTAAGAAATTACAATTCCATTCCATTACATCTCATTCCATTGAACCAAATAAAGCATTGGGGTTACACTTCAGCATTGTAGCTTGCACAAAATGGCATCCACAACTCCAACCTTATCACACTAAAATGTGACTCATATTTATTATTATTATTATTATTATTATTATTATTATTATTATTATTATTATCAAATAGAAACTTGTACCTTAAGCATGAAGCTATGATGACCAAAACTGTAATCTAATCACCATCACCACTCAAACCAAACAATTCAAACAAGTACTTTATTTAGATTTTAAAACATAAAAAAATCCAAATCAAAGCAGAGTTAACAACACTATACCTTCGAAGAAAAACGAAACCTTCTCGACGCTATCATAGAAGTAATTATCAGTTGTTTGTTGCTGGGAAAAAAATAATAATAATAATAATCAGGGAGGAAAAAAAATAAAAATAAAAAAAGTAGTGAAATAAATTCACCTTGTTTGGTTTCAGAAAATTTAGCACACTTTTCAGAAAATTGAATTTTTTTATTTTTAGTCAAAAATTTTAATATTTTAAGATTTTTTTTTATTTTTTAAATGCACTTTAAAATATAATATTTATAAAAAAAATATTTCAAAAATTCATCAAACAGCGCCTATACCTTATATATTTAAAGAGGAAAAAATTGGATACACACCTTAAAAAAATCATCAAATACAAAAAAATATAAATAAAATACATTTTTATATTCTTATATATTTATTGAAATTTTTTTAAAAAAAATTTACAAATATTTTACTTTTTACCTGCGTGCATTTAAAAAAATATATATATACTTACAACATTAAAAAAAAAAATACAAAAAAAAAAATTCAATTTTTAGAAAATCAATCAAAACCAAAGTGAATAAAATTTGGTTTTAAATTCGAAAAGGGGTGAACTAATTGAATAGTACAGATAGGGAGTCAGGTTTTGAATCGAAACCTGGTTTTTGGTAGAGAAGATGGAGGCGGTGGATAAGCAATCAAAGTCATCGAGCAATTGGTCCATTCTGTTCCTCATGGCATCTACTTCTTCAGGGCTCGCAAATGATTCAAGAACTAGAAACCCTGCAATATTTAAACTCTCAATTCAACAAGAGAAAACACACAACCTAGATAGAGAGAGAGAGAGAGAGAGAGAGAGAGAAATTACCCTGAGATTGGAAGCAGTGGAGCTGATCAGGAGAGAGAATTCCAGCAATCCCCATGAGTGATTGATTTTTCTTCAGAGGGATTTGGTGGTGCTGAGTTGAAACTTGAGAGTTGAGATTGTGAGGGGTAGATATTATCGCCGTTAACGTGGACTAGTTGGGGCAATGTTTTGAAAATTGGCCTCTTTTAATTAAGTCAGTAAAATTTGTGAATGAACTGAATTAACCAACGAATTGGATCCGGGTTAAGGAAGCCGGTTGGGCTGGTTACGCTTCAATGTGCCCAGTATGAGTTATTGGTTCAATTATCAAGTTTAACCGTGACGTTATAATTATCTGTGAAGCATTTCGCTTCTCTTTGGATTTTATTTTAATGAATTTTATTTTAATGATTCTAATTATTTATTTTGTATTTGTTTTATATTATCCATAAAAATTATTAATCTAATTTTGATAATCTTTGTCCAAAAAAAATTTAAAATATACATTTCTCTACATATTGTGTAAGAGTGTAAAAATACCAAGAATTTGTTTGCTAGTAAAATTTCTTAGGATTTCAAATCTCGCAAAGATTGGGATAAAATGGTTAAAACTAGCCTTATAGCTTGGAAACCCTAGAACTCTCAATCATTTATCTCTCTCTCTCTCCCTCTTTCTCTCTCTCTCTCTGTTGTGTTTACAAGAACAGCCTCAGCGACATCTACCACCAGTACCTCAATCGCATTCGTTGTTGCGACCATTGCTTATGTTATTTTCACTTGAACGCGTTGCCACGGCCACCAATCTCTCACGATTCACTATCCTCCAGTGTTAGACATGTTTTATTTATTCGAAACAATCATTATCGCCATTGATATGTCAAGTATCGATTCTATCTTTCACTTTGATGCATCTTACTAATTCAAATATGGACGTTACTCATCTTTAGTGTCCTTTTTGGTTCTCTATTTTATTTTATTTATCTATTTAATGGTTACATAAAAACGATTATTGTTGTCTATTTTATATATTTTTTTCTCAATTTGCTCTTTCACTATTGTCTATCGTCCTCAATGAAATTTCTCTGAATAAAATCAATGAAACTACTATAGTCAATAAGATCTTACTGACATAAACTACAAGTAAATGAAATTTCTCCGACAAAAATCCTATGAAATTTAATACATTGACTTTTTGGGGAGAGGGTGGGAAGAGGTTGAATGACTTTGTTTTGGAGCTATAAATTTAAATTTCTTATCTTTAATTTGGAATTAAAGAGCTAATTTTTGCATTTGTTCCTCAATTTTATAAGTTCTAGAGCTCAAATAGAAACTTCATGGATTTTAGGCAATAAAATTTCACTTTGTTTTATTTAAATGTTTAAACCAAATGAATAAATAAAAACTATCATTTTACAGTCCCCAATTTGAATTTATAAGTCCTAAATTTGGAATTAAGAACCTAATTGTTTGAATCAGTCCTTAAATTTACCGTTTTTAGTGCAAAAAATTAAAAAAATTCTTAGTGAAATTTCACAGCTACATATCAATGAATACAATAAAATTTTATAATTTTTTTTTTAATTTCATACTATTCATGGATCTTTTTTGATGGATCTTAATGAGAGAATTCTAAAAATACAAATTTTATTTTAAAAAAGGGCAAATTACACTTACCCCTTGAGATTTTCTGACAAATATAGGGATCTCTCATATAGTTTTGATAATTACAATGACCTCTCATATTTTAACTGACAATATCAAGATTCTTCCATTCCCTCAAATTTGCACAAACGACGTTAGTAGCATATAAAAAATGACCATATTATCCTTTCTTTTGCGTGCGAAAAGCCGAAAATGCTTTTCATCCACAAAATCCCTAATCAAGCTATATTCAGAATATACATCAAATTTCTAAGAGAGAGAGAGAGAAAGAGAGAGAGAAGACAGTAAGCAATGTGAAGAAGATTGATTGGTGTGAAGAAGACAAAGAAGCTGTTCAATTTTGGTTCGATTGTCTTTGCCAGTGCACAATGTAAAAGAGTTTTATCAGTGAGAAGTTGTTGTTATAGCTTCCAAGTAAGATTTCAAACTCATTACGCTTCAAATATGATTAATTTGAGTTTAGGGTTTTCAATTTTTATTTTATTTTTTTCATTTCGGCTTTTTTCTAACAAATTTGTTCTTATTCTAGTTTTGATTTTATGAGATGTATATGAAAAGGGTTTTCTTCAAAAACATACATTTAGTGCTTCTATTTTATTTGCAAAATTTGTGACTAGAAAAAAGGAATTTGTTGAATATTACTCTAATAATAATGTAATCTGGGGATTTATTATGAATTTGTGATTTTGTGGGTTTATTTATAAGATGTATGTTTAGGGCTTTTATTTTATTTGTAAATTTGTCACTAAAAAATAGGGAATTGTTGAATATTACTATAATAATAGTGTAATCTAGGGATTTATTATGAATTTGTGATTTTTTGGGTTTTATTTATGAGACGTATGTTTAGGGATTTTATTTTATTTGCCAAAGAACTTGCAAAGTATATCATTACATTGTAAAAGACAGTCCTTAGAGAAAACAAGAAGCAAGTCAAGAAGCAAGAAATGATAATAAAGCAACATTAGCCAAGCATTCCGTTTTCTATTACCTGATCATTTTCTCATATGATAGCCTCAAAAATGGAGGGATACAGACGAGCATGGCTAACTAAGCAGAGTTTATGAGCTAAGTAGACTGAAATGGTCAAGTTTTTTGATGGATCTTAATGAGAGAATTTTCAAAGTGGGTTTTCAAAATTTCTTGTTTAGCTTTTGGGTATTTTCAAAACCTTCCTTGTTTTTCTTCAGAAAGTTTGAAATAAGCTTCGGGACTCCCACATCAGAAAGAGAGGAAAACATAAAGCACTTAATAAAGTGCTACATAGAATATTCCTTTGAATATGGAATTGTGGAATAGATACTAGTGTGCAGACACTCACACCGCAAGGATGGTTCTTCGTACCATCCACACACACGCGCGCGCATGTGGCGTGGGCAGTGGATTGTGTGGCGTTTGATGACGCACTTTGCACGGACGTATCGGTGCAAGGCGCCATGAAAGTGCTTTTCTATTTGCATCAAACAGGTTGGAGCGATGATATGGATCTAACGTGGTATAGGTGATATGGAATACAGTCAGCTCCATGTGGCAGTGATGTGGCATCCGTTAGCGATAAGTCAACTAACTGATCGAGCGATTGCATGTCCGATCTCAAGCAGTTTGATCATAGCCGTTGACTAGAGATGCAAGTGATCATACAAATGAGATAGCACCCGATCGTGATCAGGTATGATCAATCAAGACATCTATTCGGTGTGAGAATAATCTGCACTATAGATCGTCGATCTAACGGTTAGATCTGATCGGATTCGATCAAGGGACATGACCATTCGATTACATGCATTAAGCCCTATAAATAGGCTGCGAAATCAGCCATTTCAATCCATCCAAAAATCTAGAAAGCATTCCTACAATTCTCTCTCTCTCTCTCTCTCTCTCTCTCTTGATTTAGAGTTTTCGATCAATAGTTTTTTAAGCAAGTTTTTGCTTTTGTTACTGGTAATCAAATTCTACAGACTTGATTATCAATGTCTTGGTTTTCTTGAGTATATCAAGAGTATTCTGATCTACTATCATTAGTGTAAACGCTGATAGACTTGATCCTTAGATCAGGCTTCATTGTATCCTGGAGGCAAATTTATTGTAACCCCCTGCACACCTTTTAGTGGGTATAAATATTGTCTTTAGGAAATTGACTAAGTAACATGACCTGAAGCACCAAATTTCTATTCTACATAGACAAGATCATCGCCAAGTTTTGAAGACCCGAAGACCACCAACTGAAGAATTCAAGACGAATTGTTCCAACAATCTAAAGACAATATTTAGATATGGCTGTCTATTCAGAAAATGACTTAAGATTTCATGAAACTTGACCGATTTGAAGAAAGAAATTTCTAACGCTGGCAAAAGAAGATGCACTTTTTGTTCACCACTTTCAAAGTGGTCTATATGTTGACTACCCTCTATTTGACGGAGCAAGAAGACAAGACGATGGAGCAAACCTGTACCAGAACCAAATGGGAGAATTACGACTACCTTTGTCGAGAACACATTCTGATTGCACTGATAGACTCTCTGTTCGATGTGTATCAACATTTGGAAATGACAAATCAACTTTGGGACATATTGCAGTCAAAGTATCTCACCGAGGATGCCACTAGTAAGAAATTTTTTGTTAGTAATTTTATGCTTTTTACTGTGATTGATACAAAGCCCATTATAAAACAATTCCATGAGATCCAGCATATTCTGAGTCAGTTTTAACAAAAGAATATGAACATGAATGAATCTATTGTAGTTTCATCTATCATAGAGAAACTGATATCTTCTTTGAAGAATTTAAGAAAGCTCTGAATCGCAAAAAAGGAAGATCTTACTTTAGAGGAATTGGCTCAACACCTTCGAGTTGAGAAAGAGTCAAGGCTTCTTGAAAGTAAAGATAACCAACTAGCTCAAACTTTAAAGATCCACATTATCATCCCCAAATTTTATTACCCAGATACATTACCAAAACCTTTAATTTAAGTCCAATTGCATAACATGTACAGGAATAACATTACACTTAGGTAAATAGAAATTGTTCTCTCATGGATAATTACAACAATAATAGATGCCAAGGTTTACATTGAAATACTCATGTTAATTAATTACAGGATAAAACACTTATCAATTTGAAATTACATCACATCTTTCATCTACACTTTATATAACAAATACACAAAAGAAAATAGACTTCTCAAATCTTCAAACCGGTGTTTCCGATTCCATTCCTGAAAAAAGTAGAAACAACGTGGGATGAACAAATGTGTCCAGTAGGGATCTACAATGATTCTCAATAATAAGATCGATAGATACATGAGATCATGAATGGTAAAGGATGACATATAAATAAATAATGTGCCTTTTATACTCAAAATACAATACACATAGGTAAAACCTTCCTCATGAAAATCCACTAAACTTTTCAAAGAAACTCTTTCTTTTATCTTCGTATCATTCTTGTATGATTTCAAATAGTTTTTCCTAAAAACCCCTTGTTAACATTACATAGAGATTTAGGTATAGGAACCATACATTACTAATGATTATATATCCTACCTTTAATCTGACA